GTGTGGAGGAAATGTGGTCACCATAGCAGATCTTTTTGGTATGGGGACTCAGTTGTACATGTAAACGGATATGATACACACGTTTTGACATATAGGTTTTTGTTTGCTAATTTAAACCAATAAGAACAACTATAGTTTTATATATTGTACAAGTGCTATTTCTCCTAAACAGGCAACTACACTAAGTAGGGGGAAGTAATGATTTAGTGGGTTTTGCACTGCTGTATAGTTTTGTATATAATAGGAGTGAAGCGCAACTTTTTATCTATCTACTACCTCACTATCCATGTCAGTGAGTAATACCACAGCAAGGATCCAAACATATTATAACCACAGCCGGTACCACCGGACTAGCCATCTTACACTCCTGTAGGTGTGTCAAGTGCTGAAGGAGCTCCTACCTTTTTTTATATTTATGTATACAGTATGTGACCACATAACCTCTGTTCTCAGCTGCATAAGAGGCTTAGAGAGATGGGGGTGGAGAAACAACAATACACTGATCTACCCAGTGATTAGCTGTGCGGTGGTGGGGGGTGTTGTGTTAGCGTAGGGCTTGACCATAGGAGGACAGGCAGGCACAGCTAGAAAAATTACCATGTTGGGATGAATGAACTCTCATAGTGCGGTCACTTTGGAATAAGAAAGCAGAGTGACTGGCAGGAACACCAGGGATTTCACACAAAGGAAGCAATACGAAGAGAACAGGATACTTTTTAAGACAAGTACATGGTACAGCAGGCACATGTCAGGAATGTGAAATGTTGGGGAAACAGTTTAATTTTGTGACTTCCATGCAGCGCTTTAATGCCCTCACACATATGGTCCAGGATGGACTGAGAGGTCACCTAGCTGTCATAGATATCTATCAGTCTCTCATCATTATGATTGGGAGCTGGTAGAATGGGCTTCCAATTACGTGACCACTGTGAGAGCCAATCACAGTGGTCACGTGAACGGGAAGTCTGTTTCCCGCCCCCTCACCCCCCCCCCCCCCCCCCCCCCCCGGGTGTTTAGACCTAAAAAAAGATGCTTTGGCTAGGCAGGAAGGGGTTAATAATTGTAATAATAATAATAATAATTTTAAATTATATTAATAATAAAAATAGTAATAATAACTGATAAAATAATAATTAATTTTCTCCTTGGGGGATTTATCAAATTAGTGTTGGGAGCAAAGATCCGAGACATGGGCAGAGGAACAGGTGAGTACTAATATACATATATATTTTTTATTAGTTTTTTTACTTTATTGCAACAGAGAAAAAAACAACATCTCTTCAATATGGAGATTGGATAGCATGTCGGCCAGTTCAGTATTTTTTTTTTAATATAAATAAGTAAATTATTCATTCTAAGCAGCTAAACCTGAATTCATTCAGTCAAACATGGATTACTTACATTATGTTAATGAATGCATTTGGGGTGATTGCATATCCATAGGAATATGTATTAGAACAGTGTAATCTGTTTCAGGACCAGATAGGGGCCTGGTACATGGCAACATCCTATATACTGTATATCTAAAGAAGATTATATGGAATGCCTAGAGTCCATGCTGAGCCTGGCTGGTAGATATAAAGGCTGCAGAGTAGAGAGCGCAGATAGAGAAGCTGTCTAACATGTAGCGTTCCGGCGGGAGCTGCAGATAGAAGCGCAGCCTTAGGCACTGGAACTGCATGAGCATCTTCCTTTAGATGTGGTTAACCTCGTTTTTCTACATATAATCACAAGGAATCTTCCGGCGATGAACGTGACAAGTTAGGTATAAGTTCTGAATTCCCCTGCCTCCATCTTTACATGCCTCGTTTCATTTGAAATTGCTTTTTTTTTTCCCTCTGTACATCAATTTCATTTTTCATACATGAGCCAATGAAGCAAAAGGACAGCGTAGTTATAGAGAAGGAGCAGGTACTTAATAAAAAAGCACCCTGAAATTTTGTGGGGGCGACGAGTTATGCAAAGCCCCAAGCTATCATTATCATTTCCAAGGGGATTTACTCACAAAGCTACTGGTGCTAGGGGTAAGGTTTCATCTACTTTGATTTTTGGTTTAGCTTCATTTAAATCCTAAGTTAGTACCTAACTTAAATGGAACATATACTCTTTTCATTTTGGGAGGGTTTGTTTTTTTACATGGTTTTTTTGTGAAACAATTAGATCATCTTAGCAGTGTGTGCTAATATTTTAAACATCTGGTTGTGTGCACTGGTTGGAATTTTATACTTATCCACTTTAAGACCTCAAAGTGGTTTACATGAGGTCATGGCTACAGCTGACAGCCATGACTCCGTTTTGTTTTTTTTTGCCAACATTATTCTTTTTATTAAAAGTGTTCTGAGGGGTTGATTAGCTGCTGGATTGCTTTTAGAAGTCGTCCCTCCCCTCCCGCCACTCTCCGGTGTTTCTCGGGCTTCCCCATCTCAGCTGGAAGCCTGGGATCTGATCCAGCTGATCGTGTGGCTGGCCATAGAGGTGAACAGAGACCAGAATGTCTCTGATCATCTCTATGTTCTAGGAGACCGGAAATGACGTCACGACGTCACTTCTGGTTTATGGCAGATGTAAACAGTGCATTCTTTTGTTTGGGGGGGGGGGGGTTTGTATCTGATCAGTGTTTGTTTTTTGTTTTTTAATCTGATGCTTTCAAGGGTAGAGGAGAGATCTGGAGTCTTTTAGACCACAAGTGTCTCCATTAAAAGGACCTGTCATGTTTACATTTCTTATGGTAGCAAAAAAAGTGATTAAAAAAATTAAAAAGACAGTGTAAAAAATTTTTTTTTTATAAAATAATAAAAAAGAAATTTATGGAGGCAAACGTGCACGGTGGTCATGAACATTTTAGTAAATCAACACCTCAATCATCAATCAAACAATGCACTCTATGGAATTGATTTTCTAAAGGCAAATAGGCAGTTATTTTGCAAGAGAATTTTCCCTTAGCTTAATAAGTGTGGTGAAAATCCACTTTGCAAAGAATACCCAATCACATGCAAGGAAAAAAAAAATTACTTTGCTTGCATGGGATTGGATGATGGAGGCCAGCAGAAACTCACCTCATTCATGTAGCTAAGGGAAAATTCCCCTGCAAAGTGAATAGCTTATTTGTTTTTATTAAATCAACCCCGATATGTGGCCAATATTTTATCTAAACAGACGTAGAGAAATGGGGCAGAGAGAATGAAAATGTGATTTAGCTCTCTCTAGTCAATAATCTGCAAAGCTCTATATTAAAAAAAAAAATGAAAGTAAGCATGTAAATAGGTGTCCCAGCAGTCACATAAAATTTTATTTCAAGGTAAATACTACATTATTAATTCAAAATATGCACAAACTGAAAAAGCACCAGACTTTGCCCTTTGAAATGAAATGAATATTAAAACATAAAATGTGTTGCATCTATATTACGTAAGCTGTATATATTTTATTTTCAATCATTCTTTATTGAGTATTCTGAAAAAAAAATTCAGCTATCCATTTTAACCACTTGCTCCCAGGCCAATCTTCAGCTTTCAGTGCTGTTGCACTTTGAATGACAATTGCGCGGTCATGCAACATTGTACCCCTATGAAATTGTTATCATTTTTTTCACACAAATAGAGCTTTCATTTGGTGGTATCTAATAAGAGTAATAATAGCAGGGATGACCAGCCCCAGGGGTAAAGGGTAGATGGCAGAAAATCATAAAAAAGTGATGGAGCAAGTGTGGTGGGTAACTGAGTAGCACAGGTAGATTTGAAAAAAAAAATGTGTATAAATATATGAGGTGGTAGCAAAAAGTTGTAGCACGCCAACAGATTGGCTATCGCAGTGATCAGTCACTGTGCAGCCCGGCCCCCTTGTTTTTTTTTCTCTCTATGAATGGAGGAGAGAGATAAAATGTATCTCTCTAACTCCTGGCACAGAAAAAAAAAAGATAAATAAATGAATATTAAAAAATAAAGAAAAAATACCTAGATCAAGGTTTGGCATAGTTCAGTGCCAGGGTTAGTGTTTGGGTCAAGGTCAGGGGCAATGGTCAAGGTCAAAAAGTCAGGGTCAAAGGTCAGGATTTAAAAAAAAATAGGTATCAGTGTCAGTTAGTGTCAATGTCAGTGTCAGTGTGTTTTGGGTAAAAAAAAAGACAAAAACAAAATGTGCACTATGGTTTCTGGGCTGTACTGTGGGTACAAACAACAAATAACATACACATATATGATATCGCTGCAACCGTTAAGAGCTGGAGAATTTATTTTGAGTTGTTCTTTGGTGGTAGGTTATGGTAGTAACAAAAAACACACAGCTAAATAAAAAAATTATTTTTTTGTTTTACTATTTTGACCAGTTTTCCTTTGATAATAAAAAAAGATTTGAATGGACTCCCGTGCCCCGGGACACACAGGGAAGAAGTTCCTGCACTTCTTTGGAAACCACAGCCCGCCCGGGAACCTCAGTTCCCAGTACGGTTGCGATTTCCAGTGCGGGCGATGTGCCATTGGAACTAATGGCACCAGCCCGCGAGTCCGCATTCTTCTGTGTGGGTGGTGTGGATGCACGGATTTTTGTGCGGATCCACAGCGGCACCATCCACACATATGTGAACCTAGACTTAGACCCTTGTCACACCCTTAAGGTGGGAATACACGATTAGAAAATCGACCGATCGGTCATCCGACGACCGAGAGGCATTCATTCGTTGGTCAAAATCATGGCCCACATTAATCAATCTAAAAAAATAGTTTGTCGGGCAATACGTAGTGTTGACGTCTTCCGTACAAGTGGAAGTGGTGCGGTGTGCGAAACAACAAAATTTTTCACTGTGTTCAACCGGATTTTTTCGTTCACAATATCGTTATCGGTTAAAACATCCTGCTCATCAACGAAGAGAAAATCGTTCGATCAGTGATTCCGCAAAATTTTTCGCATGATTTTCTTATCGTGTGTACGGGACAGTAGCCTGGGTTCACATATATGCGGTGCGGTAAATCGCCTGTGATTCGCACAGGAACCGCACTGCATTCCTGTGCAAATCACATGCGATTTGTGTGTGGTGCAATTGGAGCCAGGGGCGGACTGACCATTCAAGCACTCGTCACTGCCCGAGGGCCCAGGTTCAGTAGGGGGCTCCATGAAATGCCCCTGGTACCTTTTTATAGGCTTTTTTGAGTGTGCTTTGAGTGTGGCCAAGGACACAGGGGCCCCATGATCCCCTATTGCCCGGGGCCCCCATGAGTTGTCAGTCCACCCCTGATTGGAGCCATACATTATGTATGGCTCTAATCGCACCGCACCCACACCAAAAACCTTTTTTTGGGTCCGCACTAGAATCGGATCGCATGGGTATTCACACCTATGCTATCCAATTCTGCACATCGCACTGCGTTTTGCGGGCATACACACCCACAGCAGTTTGCATGAACGGGTGAGCGATTCTGAATTTGCACTGAAAATGCTGCAAATTCTGGACCGCATCAGTGTGAACCAGGGCTTACAGTGAAGTCACATGATTTCAAAGTTGGGGGACATGCCAATTTTAGGTGCGACTTACAAGACATCTGACACAGATGCCTTATGAAAAACGCACCAAAAGTAGTGCATCCACTGCTTTAGAAATCGGTGCAGCTCCAACCAAGTAGGAACTGCACCGATATGACCGCTGTAATTGAGGACAATAGGGTGAGACTTGCCATGCGATTTGCAAGTCGTATGGCATGCAAATCGCATGCCAAGTCGCACCCAGTGTGACTGGGGACTTGCCAAGTTTTCTGTCCTGAGGGCCAGTTCACACTACATGCATTTCAGTGTGCTTTTTTCTGCATCCAAAATGCACAGAAAGTAAGTTTTATGTTTGTCAATGTCATAGTTCACATCTAGTGCATTATGGATGCAGAAAAAAAAAGAACATGCTGCATTTTTGCTACACAAAACTGTACTGGAACGCTGTAAAACGCATAAAAAATGCACCAAAAATGCAGTTGCATGCACATGTCCTTATTTAAATTGAAGAAAAAGAGAGGGGGAAAAATTAACTGGAACACATCAAAAATGCACTGGAACTTGTCAAAAACACTTCAAAAACATGGCAAAAACATGCATGCAAAAACGCATCAGGAACACATCTGGACTGCGCTTCTATAGTGTAAACCGGCCCTAAGGCTTGCTTCACACCAATGCAGTTTGCTTTTGATCCGTTGTTGCAATGCTTTTTGCATTCCGCTTTGCATTTTTACCACGTTTTTCATTCTTTTTTTGTTAGAGGGGAAATGTTTTTGTTACTGGGCAGAATAAAAACGCAAAATACGGCAAAAACGCACTACATGCATTCCAAGCAGTGTCTCCATTGAACTATTGTAGCAAAAACGCTGCTTTTTGCGTTTAAAAAAGTCCCTGACCCTTTCCAAAAACGCAGCTGCTCAAAAAAGCAAAGATGTGAACATGTCCCCTAGGAAACAATGTTAACCCCTTGGTGCCAGCGCCTCCCGGCCCTTTAAGGTTTTCAGAGGTTTTACAGTCATGTGACCACCGGGATTCACCGTCACGGCGGTCACATGATCGGGAAAGGTCCCGACCGAAAGAGGAGATCGGGACCTTTCCGTGAGTACCAGATATGTGTGCTGGGAGCACGCAGGGCGCGCTCTCAGCACATATGTTTTTCTTAATTGCATGCAAATGTGTGGCCGCTCGGTGTCAAGGCCCAGACGCACATTTGCGTGCAGCCAGCGCCAGGAGGTTAAATGGACTGCAGTGCGTTTCTGCAAAAAGCACTAAACAACACATTGGGGTGAATTAGGTTTAAAGCGGAGTTCCAGCTAAAAAAATAAAATAAGTCAGCAGCTACAAAAACTGAAACTGCTGACTTTTAGAATACAGTCACTTACCTGTCCCTCGGTCCAGCAATGTCCTCACCATGGCTGGTTTCACCGGCCGTCTTCTCTCCCTGGTGCAGGCATCTTTAGTGTGGGCACCCGGCTGTGACAGCTTGCAGCTTCACAGCTGGGTGCCCACTGCGCATGCGTGAGAAGTGTTGCACTTTGTGAATGGCCCCTTAGTCTCCTGGGACCTGTCATGTGTCCCTGAAGACTATGGGGAGGGAGGGGGGAGGACAACTTAAACTTCTGATAGCCTAGGCAATCGCAACGGAAGTGGGAGTGAGTACCTGTCAAATTCGGGTACCCGCTCCCCAAAGGTGCCAATCGTTAATGGGGAGCAGGGGACAAAGCATTAAAGCGGAACGTCCCCTTATGGGTGGAACTCCGTTTTAAATCTACATACCAACAAGTGATGAAGCTTTCTAGGGCTAAGGTAAGGCCTTGTTCTCAAAATCAAAGAAAGCTTTTAATTTCTGCAACAGAGGTACATTAATGGTATATTCATACATAGGGTAGCTGAAATTTAGAAGAAAAAAAAAAGTGAACTTAGCTTTTAAAACAGCAAAGCAAGTTAACATGCCAATTGGTACCAATCTTACTCTCAACCACCCCACAATGAAAACCGATCCCCCATGAAAAGTCAAACCCAGGTCTGTTTTAAATATCCCAAAAATATTACACCAAATGTTCAAGCTCATGTATAATTTTAGGCATATGAACAAACTTCAAACTGCAGTTGAAATCTCTTGGCTTCATTTGTGGTCAGACCATTTGACCGTGGGAAGGAAATTAGCCATGGTGGGACCTGGAATCACTTTGAAGCCCCTGCAATCACTGTGGCCATTTGTGTCTGTATGCTGAAGGGAAAGGATTAGACAGAATCACCAGCAAAATGAGATATGAATTGATTTTGCTGTGCACGTCCAAAGATGATTCTCTGAAGAAGCAGATAATAAATATGCCATGAACCACGTCTGTTATTAAAGATATGAAAAAGTCTGCTATCTAACACCGCCATCTATATGAGGACAAAAATAGAAAAAATATGTAAGTATTCTATTGTCATTTATAATGACAAATGCACCTAGAAATGTATCAATGGTAACGGGAATAATGGCTCAAAATCAATGGGCTGTTTTTTATTCTTAGCAAAATGTCTTTATACAGACAGTAAGTTCTTAAAGAATTAAGATTGAAAAAAATATGTTTTTTAAATTGTGTAGGTTAGGCTAGGTTCACACCTATGCAGGTTGTGTTCAAGCCATTTCTGCGTTGTGTTTTGCGTTTTTAACGAGTTTTTGATTTTGCGGTTTTTTAATTTTTTTTATTATTCTTGTTGCTAGGCAGATTTAAAGTGCAAAACGCATCAAAAACGCGCCAAAAACATTTTTAAAAAATGCAGCAAACACACAATACATGATTTTCTGCAGTCCATTAAAATATATAGAAACAAAAACACAACTTTTTGCGTTCAAAAAAGTCTCTAACCCTTTCCAAAAAATGCACTGGGTAAAAACACACAGGTGTGAACATGTCCCATAGGAAATCATGTTAAATGGACTGTATTGCGTTTCTACAAAACACTGCAGAAAACGCTTAGGTGTGAACCTAGGGTGATTGAATCAGAAACCTTAGAAAGTTGTTTGTCCATAAATGCCCCCCCCCCCTTCTCTTTTTTTTTTAGATTTTTTTAGTTACAGAGTCACTTTAAGGACCTTCTTATAATTTGTCTCTGAATAAATTCCTGGCATGTGTAAATACACCTAACAATAAAAGTTAAAAAAATCCAGCAAAACGCAGCCCTTGAGCTCCAGTCAATTCATTTTGCCTAGGCTGAGATAACAGGTTGTCTTCTGCAGGCAGGAGGAATCATCCAGTGACACCTGCAGTAGTCTAAGAGGAGCTGTGAAAATGTGGAATAGACTCCCTCAAGAGTTGGTTCTGGCCAGCTCAGTGGATTGCTTTAAAAAAGGCCTGGATTATTTCCTAGATACACAGAATATAACTGGATACTAACATTTATAGGTAAGGTTGATCCAGGGAATATCCAATTGCCTCTCGGGGGTTCAGGAAGGAATTTGTTCCCCGCAGGAGCAGATTGGATCATGTTTTGCTGGGGTTTTTGCCTTCCTCTGGATCACCTGTGGGTGTAGGATTATAATTTTTTTTTATGGTTGAACTGGATGGACTTTTGTCTTTTTTCAGCCAAACTATGTAAATATAAGGCCAGTGATTGATGAAAGAAAATAAAATATTGGCCAGCAAAGCTGAGACCCTTGAAGAAAGTACAACAGTTCCCAGCAGACATCAGATTAATTTGTACAATATTAGTCTCTTCCCAGACCCAGGGCACCCTCTTCTGGGTCTTTAGATACATGATCTGATTTAGTTCAAGGCCTCGGACAGGAAAAGAGTTGCTGTGATTTCTCTCTTTCAATCTTGCTGAGACAGTCCCCCTTTTCCTGCATTACAAACTGTGGTAGTGCTCTGCAGTACAGTCTGAATTACACCAGTTATCCAAATCACACTTCGCACCCTCCCAGGGTGAAGGACCCCCTACCTGAAACTGCAAAATCACGTATATATACATGATTTTGGCACCCGTGCCGCCCTGTAGTAGTAGCAGAAGCAGATAAGGGCATATTATGCTAGTATACATCACATACTAGCAAATTATGAAGGGTTTACCTTAAAATGAAGCCTTCCAGTGGCATGCTCTCACAGCTGACAGGGCTTACATCTTCATCCGATCTTCCGTCCATGTTCACGGGCCCTGGCAGTTTGCATGGCCCAGCCACAATGACGTCATTCCCATGCACATGGGAGCCACAATCGTGGCACAGCTCCCTTCAGAGAGCAGTGCACATGTGCCATTGACGTCACCAGCTGCAGAAATAGTAAATACCTCCTGAACAGTGCATGTTTAGGAGATATTGGGGGTTATTTACTAAAACTAAAATCCGATGCAACTCTGCATAGTAACCAATCAGCTTCCAGGTTTTATTGCCAAAGCTTAATTTGACAAGCAGAAATTAGAAGCTGATTACCTACCATACGCTGCTGCTGCCAGATTCGAAGCGCACCAGTTTTAGTAAATCTTCCCCATTCGTTGTACCTACAGGTAAGCTTTATTATAAGCTTTCCTGTAGATACACATCACCAAGTGGTGTTTACTACCATTTTAAATACAAATCTCAAAAAAGTGTCAGCAATTGTTTGCACTACAATCAAATGATCCTTTTTTTAAAATTGTTAGAAATTAGGTTGACAGACCCTTTAATGGATGCTGACCTATACCCACTCCATTCACATCAAACATCTCCACTATAACGATTACTGTTGTGTTTCAAAAATCATTTTATGTACCAGTAAGGGATGTGCGCTGTGAGGATTGTGTCCGGTATATTTCATAGCAGTCACTGAAAATAGCCCCTAGTAATCCCATTGTTGGCCCTTGGAACTCTGGTTCTATTAGGTCAGAAATGGATTGATCTCTATTTAATTAAAGCAGCATGAAGGATGTGCTGCCATTTCTCAGCAGAATTCTCTCCCACTGACATAGAGCCGCTTATTGCTGCCATTGCTATTGTGCAGCTATTATGCCACTCGATAGCCCCTAAATGAATAGCGTGTAATCATATTTACAATGACTTTCATTTTCGCTCTCCAATGTACTATTCTCATCTGCCATGTGGACTCTTAATGATTTACAGATCAGGAAATTTGCAAAGCTCACAATATTTTTCATAGGCTGTCCAGGCTGAATGTTGTCATGGTCCATATTTATCAAACCCCAATGTCATGAACTGCTACTACAGATGTTTTGTGTGTAGTTAAAGGCCACATTTGCTGTTTTCTTGCTGTGCATTCTTCAGTGTCTTGGTCATACCTACACAAAACTACATTATCCATATAAAAAAGAAAATAACAGATATAAGTGGTACTTAAGGCATTTTGGAGTTATAGGGTCCACTTATAAAGAATTATTTGGTACATTTGCCATATTTATAAGACATATTTGGTGTATTTTCACTGGTTGAAAAAAATTCCCTAATACCCATTAACATGTGTTGTTCAATGAAAATCTCATGACTGTAATATTTGCAGAATTTATAACATGGCGAATAATACACATTTGCCATACGTTCATTGTAGAACAGTGGTCTCCAAACTGTGGGCCCGAGGGCCAGATGCGGCCCTTTGCTTGCTTTTATCTGGCCCTTGGGGCACTATTTCATCCACTGATACCAATTTGGTAGAATTCCCCCCAATTACACCAATGAAGGGGGCACAACTCCTTCCAATGACACCAATGATGAGGCACAATTCCTCCCAGTGACACAAATGATGGAGTTCAATGACATCAACGATAGGGCAGAATTCCTCCCACTGACACCAAACAAAGGGGCATTATTTTTTTCCCATTGACATTGGGACCTTTTCTACTCCCAACGGCTGCAGTCCTTGTAAAGTCTGAAGGACAGTAAACTGCCCCTTTGTTTAGGAAATTTGGAGATCCCTGTTGTAGAATAACAGGCTGAGACTGCAAAATATCATTTTGTATTTAAAATTTCACAGCCTGCTTATAAATAGATCTGTAGATACTTTTTGCCTATGGCTCTCTTAAATTATCTAAACTCGAAAACAAAAATGTAATATAGTGCGACTTACAAATCCTTAAAGGTGGTGTCTGTATTCATAATATTTTTTAGTCTTTATTTCCTTTATTTCGACCTGGTGATCTGGCCAGTAACATAATTCCTGTCTTAGGGCTTCTCCTCTCTGTAGAAGTGCAATGGAGCCACCCCTGGACTATCGCAATCAGTCTCTGGCAGGGCTTTACTTCTCAGAGAATAGGTGCAGGAACTCTCCCTTTCCGAGTCACCCCTTGTCTCTGTCCTGCACCATCCCTTGGTTCTGCCCCTACCTCTCAGTACCGCACTTTTAGAGAATACAGAACCAAGTATCAATTTGTATGGAATTTACTAATGGTAACAAGAAAAACAGTAAAATAATTCCCCTGCAGCAGGCAACAATAGACCCCCCAACAACAATGGACCACCTGCAACAAATTACTCCCCCAGCACAATAGACACCTCCTGGCAACAACAAATATCCAATAGATCCTCCAGCAGCTAGCAACGATAGACCCCTCCCACAATAGTAGATCCCTCCCAGCAGCAATTGATCACACAGCAACATAAGACCCACCCCCAGCAACAATATATCTCCCACCATCAAGAGTAGACATCCCCAGCATCAATAGATTCCCCCCACAAAAATAGATCCCCTCCAGCAAAAATAGATGCCCCAGCAGCCAGCATCAATGGACCCCGCAGTACACCCCAGCACCCCTTGCCATTACATACATTTAGTGCTGGTGGTGCCGGAACTGTGTTCCTTCGCATTCCCACTAAAAAAAGCCCTGGTCTCCGGAGAGGGTAGTTTTAGATGTAATAGCAGATTTTGATGGACTTTACTAGAGTTAGGAATTAAACCCAAACTCCAGTTAATATTTTATAAACAGTTACAACAACAGTTTTTTTTCCTTTTGGGATAAAGGTTTTATATAAATTAATAAAACGTGTCTGTTCTACGCACTGCTGTCATTGTAAAAAGGTTTGCCTCAACTCTCAAATTGTACTTTTTTGCTGGGCTGGTTGTGACCATCTGTACACACCAACCATCAATGCACACCAACTCCATGGATCCTTGACTTTGGAGGTGGCCCATTGAGGCGGCCTGGAGGGCAAAGTTTTTCTCTGTATGCAGGAGTGACAGTAACTCTCAACCTTAGTCTGCATTAAAGTTGAATCGGTTTCTTTAAACGTAAAAGTCCTCTGGCCCTAAATTGCCATGGTCATCATGCGAGACAGCTAGCACAGTTTCTGTATGCATCTCTGGTAAGAACAGTTGCCAACTTCCTTCAGGCTTGCCTGAGGGGCCCCTTCGGTAGACCACCCCATCACATAGCTGAAGTTGATCCCACTTCTTATGAACTAGATGTGTTTCTTTAAGATAGAGTTCACTAGCAACAGTTCTAAGTGACCACTCTCCACGGCTTTCTATCTGGACCTTTCTCAGGTCTTTCCTAGAAAGCTTAGAGAAGCCTCCGTCTCTCTTGAGTGAGGTCACAGCATGAGAACACCTACAGCAGTGATTCCAATGGCTTCAGCCCCTGATGCTCCCTTGACACAATGCTCAACTCCTTGCCAGAAAGCTTGGACTTCTGATGTCAGTTGGTCTCATTCTTCTGGGAGCAGTCTCAGGGTCATAGAGTCTCCATGATAGTGTGTCAGCATCTCTGTTTCTGATCCCTGAATGATACTTCAGGCTGAAGTGAAACCCTGATAAAACAGGCAACCATCAATGTCTTGTGGCATCCAGCTTGGTTGTGTTGAGTGTGTAGTTGAGCGGATTTTTATTTGTCTTGACTCCAAAGTCATACAGATAACTTTTCAACTTGTCCACCACTGTTCACTTCTAGACCAGGAGTCACTTCTCCTCTGTAGTGACCGCTGGCTGACACAAGGAGGCTGAATCACATCACTGGACTGGAATGGGCTGAAAATAGGTAAGTATATACATAATTTTTGCACAGGTTAGTAAGGATAAGTGTTAAGAGGGGGAAGGAACAATTGTAACCACCTCCCGCCCACCATATAGTCCAATGACGGGCGCAAGGTGGTTCTCTCGTTCATATGACGTCCTCCCATTCTCACGGCGCATGGGAGTGCGCTGCGCGGTGATCGGCGGTGTGCTGTGTCCCTTGGACACAGCGGATCACCGATCTACGGAAAGAGCCGAAGACGTCGGCTCGGTCATGTGATCAGCTGTGTCCAATCACAGCTGATCACATGTAAACAGGGAAATGTCGGTTATCGGCATTTCTCTCCTCTCAAGCTATCATGCTGAGGGGAGGGGACATGTATACTGATCATCAGGGCACTGATGATCAGTGTGCCCTGATGATCCGTGTGGCCCAGAAGTGCCACCTGTCAGTGTCCATCAGTGCTAGCTGACAGCGCTGAACAGTGCCACATCAATGCCACATATCAGTGCCCATCTGAGCTGCCTTTCAGTGTCACCCATCAGTGCCAGTCAGTGCCACCTAGCAATGCTAATCAGTGCTGCCAATCAGTGCCGCCTATCAGTGTGCATCAGTGCCGCCTATCAGTGTGCATCAGTGCCGCCTATCAGTGTGCATCAGTGCCGCCTATCAGTGTCAGTGCCTCCTATCAGTGCCAGTCAGTGCCGTCTAACAGCGCCAGCCAGTGCCACCTAACAGTGCCAGTCAGTGCCATCTGTCAGTGCTGCCTATCAGTGCTGCTTATCAGTGCCATATATCAGTGCTGCCTTTCAGTGCCTATCAGTGATGCCTGTCAATGCCCATCAGTGCCACCTACAGTGCCTCTTCATCAGTGCCCATCAGTGTCACCTATCAGTGTCCATCAGTGCAGCCTCATTAGCGCACATCAGTGAAGGAGAAAAATCACTTATTTACAAATTTTACAACAAAAACTAAGAAAAAAATTTTCTTTTTCAAAATTTTTAGCGGTTTTTGGTTTGTTTAAGAAAAAATAAAAAACCCAGAGGTGATTAAATACCACCAAAATAAAGCTCTGTCACAAAAAAATGATAAAAAATGTCATATGGGTACAGTGTTGCATGACCGCGCAATTGTCATTCAAAGTGTGACAGCGCTGAGAGCTGGAAATTGGCCTGGGCAGGAAGGGGGTATAAGTGCCCTGTAGGCAAGCGGTTAAGATTAGTTAGCTTGAGGCTGGGATTCTACTTTAAGTGTGGTTGACAGTTCTAGGCAGGTAGGTGGTGGCTCCTCTGTGTATTTCATGGCTTAATTTTCAATTTTGACTGTAATATACTTAGAAGTTTGTCTCATGAATATATGAGCAGCACATAGGAAAAATGTTCAATTTGGAAATACTTCAGCATGCAATGTTAATAGACAATCATCGGCACAAACACTAGTCATTCCTCCTCCCTGCAATAGTTTCTGTGTTCTGAATTTTAACACGCTTTTCTTTCTTTTTTTTCCACATAAGCAGTGCAGAAAATTCTGCGAGCAACTATTGAAATATGATCAGAGAGACAGTTTTAGACACAGCTCGGCTTAAGTATCCTATTAGTTTTAATGTATAAACCTCTTTGGGATATAAAATAATTTTTATTCTGATTTCTAAGTCAAGAATTACCACAAATTCTATGCTCTAAACTCTGTCTTTGGTTGATTTTTGATTGTAGAAATTCAAACCCTCCACCATGATTAATTCTTTAACAGAGACGCCAGCCAAGAATAGCAAAATAACATTGAATATCCCACTAAAAGATAACATAATACTACCAAATTTTGCTGTAATATTCACCTTCAGTCTTGAGATTTCTTCCTCTGTATTTTTGTCTGCTGCTAGTTATCTTCATTTAGATGTCCAGCATAATTCCACTTCCTGAACCTGAAGCCCTCCCTTGGTGACTGGACAGTGAAAAGAGAAGCAGCACAGTGATGAGCGCATCCTTTTGTCACTCTGCTTTCTCCTCCTTTCAGCATGCTCCATGGCAGCACATACATAGATTGGCTCTTTGTGCTGCTTCTTCCTCTCACACTCCAGCCCTGTTGTACAGGGACTGCAAGAGGCTGAAACCAGGTCACATTCAGGTACTTACACTGCTTACATTTAACAATTCTTTTAATACTGGAATAATGATTACAGGGCTGCATTCATTTGTCATTTATTTACCTAGATTTTGGCTTTAACCTCCTGCCGACTGCGTAATGCATATACACTCACCAGCCACTTTATTAGGTATACCTGTTTAATTGCTTGGTAACACAAATGGCTAATCAGCCAATCACATGACAGAAACCCAATGCATTTAGGCATGTAGATGTGGTGAAGATGACTTGCTGAAGATCAAACTGAGCATCAGAATGGGGAAGAAAGGGGATTTAAGTGACTTTGATTGTGGCATGGTTGTTGGTGCCAGATGGGCTGGTATGAGTATTTCAAAAACTGCTGATCTACTGGGACTTTCACGCACAACCATCTCTAGGGTTTCTAGAGAATGGTCTGAAAAAGAGAAAATATCCAGTGAGTGGCAGTCGTGTGGATGAAAATGTCTTGTTGATGTCAGAGGAGAATGGGCAGACTGGTTGCTGCGAAATTCAGATGGTAGGGTCAGAATTTGGTATAAGCATGGATCCATCCTGCCTTGTATCAATGGTTCAGGCTGGTGGTGTAATGGTGGTGGGAGATATTTTCCTGGCACCAGCAAAGTGTACCTAATAAAATGGCCGGTGAGTGTATGGAGGAGCAGGAAATGTGGCCTTGAATGTCCAGCTGCCACATATATGCATCCATGGCAGACTGAGGATGTGTTCTGACTGCGCACTCACTGTGCATTCCAATCATACCGACCGAGCATACAGCTCTCAGTGTAGGCTTCTGATTGGGGCTCCCAACCTTGTGACCACGGTGAGGACCAATCATAGCATTCACATGACACAGACGCTGCACCGCCCTTCCAGGCATTATTACCCACATAAAGAGTAAGTCCACTTTTGTTGAAAGAAAAAAAAAAAAAAAAAAAAAATCCCCTTTGGGTGATCAATGCACATTGCAGGGATTTTAACAAACTTTGCAGCAGTTTCTTATCTTTTGTTGCTGAGAAGAAATAACTGTTTGTTTCACCGTGTCCCTTACAGACTGATTCTGAATTGGAGGTTCTGGTTCATTATAAAACACAGGTGTACCTCGGTTTACGAATGTAATGCGTTCTCCGGGACGTTTTGTATTGCAAAAAATTTGTAAACCGAAATGCAGTTTTCTATAGGAATGCATTGAAAACCAATTAATCCATTCCGGAGGTCAGAAAAAAGTAAAAAAAAAAAGTATTTTATCTGTTCAAAACTCTTTATAAAGTGCACTTTAAATGCATAAATACTGTAAAGGGACATGATTAAAAACAAAATCGTAAATGCATTAAAACCCAATTAATCCGTTCCAGAGGTCAGAAGAAAGTAAAAAAATTTTTATCTGTTCAAAACTCTTTATAAAGTGAACTTTAAAGGTACAGGCCCGCGCTATAAACCTCCAGGCGCAATGCATCCTGGAGAAACTTACTTCGTATTCCAAAAAAAAATTGTAAACCAAGGCATTATTTGCAATGAATTTTCATTCGTAAACCGAAATGTACGTTAACCGAGACGTTTGTAAACCGAGGCACGCCTGTACCTGGTGCACTCTCAGAAAAGCTGCAGTGTCTGCATCCTTTCAGAAGTATTTAACCCTTGGGAAGTATCTCAGGAAAACTGAAATTCCTGTTGCAGAGGGGACCAAGAGTCTGATTTGTATCTTAAGCTAGGTTCACACTTATGCAGTTTGCATTTGATCCGTTTCTGCAGTGCTTTTTGCGTTTTTGCACATGCGTTTTACTTTTTTTTTTTCAACAGAAATTCTGAAGGGCCCTCTGCACACTGGTATATACACCCTTTCAAGCAGACTCTGCAATAAATAATGATATTTAGTTCACACATATTGCAATACATGTTTAAGCCGGCCAAACTGCATCAAAGTATTCCTCTATGGCCAGTCCTACTCTGCTCTGCCTACACAAATGCTACTGTGGAAACATTTCCAATATAGGGGAAAAGACAAAGTGGGGAGAGCACAGGTATATCTTGTGCTTTTTTTTTTCAACACGCAGCAAAAATGCACTACATACTTTTCTGCAGCCTTTCAATTGAAGTCTATAGAACCAAAAACGCTGGTTGCAGAAAAAAAAGTAGAACAGGCTGCCCAGATCTATACTGGAATGTAGTGAAACACATCTACAATGCACCAGAATGCACCAAAACGCATCAAAATGCATTGGAATGTACATGTCCCTATTTAAATTGAAGAAAAGGGTGAACAAAATTAACTGGAATGCATAAACAATGCAATGGAAGGCATCAAAAATGCGTCAAAAACACGCATCTGGAACGCATCTAGACTGTGTTTCTATAGTGTGAACTGGCCCTTAATGTATCGCCAAGAGGTGGTGTTAAGTAGTTAAAAGAGGTTGTAAACCCATACATACATATACCAATTGACTGGCAGTTTGACCCAATGGTCTTCTATGGGACTACTGGAAGAATCAGCTCTTATCTGTTTACCAGTCCCATTAAAGCCTATAGGACCAATCTATGCATGTGCAGATGCTGAATCCTGAAGTTGGCAGAGGGAAGTAAACAATGCCACAGACTTTGCAGCAAGATCTAGGTAAGTATAGCAATTTGGGTAAGGAGGGGTTATACACCTCTTCAGGGGGGTGGGGGGAAAGAGGGTAAGGAAACTAAGTGGGAAAGAAAATGAAAGTCAACATGGTATTTACATACCTACAGTTTATATGTGTACAGGGCTTTTTTTCAGCAGGAATGTGGGGGGGGGGGGGGGGGGGGGACGCAGTTCCGGCACCTCTAGCACTCAATGTAATGCCAAGGGGTTCTGTGGTGTGCAGGAGGGTCTGTTAATGCTAGGTGCTGGGGGATCTTTTGTCACTGTGGGGGTCTATTGTTGCTGGTGGGGATATATTGTCGCTCGTAGGTGATCTATTGTTGCTGATGGGGATCTGTTGTTGCTGGTAGGGGATCTATTGTCACTGGTGGGGATCTGTTGTCGTTGGTAGGGGATCTATTGATGCTTGTGGGGACCTATTGTTGCCTGTGGGGATCTATTGTCGCTGGTAAGAGATCTATTGTTGCTGGTGGGGATATATGGTCGCTGGTAGTGGATCTATTGTTGCTGGTGCGGATCTATTGTTGTTGGTAGGGGATCTATTGTTGCTGGTGGTAATCTATTGTCACTGGTAGGGGATCTGTTGTTGCTCATGGGGATCTGTTGTTGCTGGTAGGGGATCTATGGTTGCTGGTGGGGATCTATTGCTGCAGTTTGGGATCTATTGTCGCTGGTAGGGGATCTATTGTCGCTAGTAGGGGATCTATTGTAGTTGGTAGGGGATCTATTGTCGCTGGTAGTGGATCTATTGTTGCTGGTAGGGGATCTATTGTTTCTTGGGAGGGGTAAATTGTTGCTAGGAGGGATCTATTGTTGCTGTCTGCTGGGAGATCTATTGTTTCTGGAGGGAGTCTATTGTTGCTGGTTGCTTGCTCTTTGCTTTAACGCTTTCCTTGTTATCATTAACAAATTCCATGCAAATTACTTAGCACTACAAAATGATACTTGGTTCTGTATTTTCTAAAAGGGGCGGTACTGTGAGCTGAGGATTGGGAAACCAAGGGATGGTGTTTCGGAGGTAGGTAGGGGGCAGAGACAAAGGGCAACTCAGAAGGGGAGAGTACCTACACCTATTTGCTGAGAAAAAAAAGCCCTGTATACATATATGTATTTATATATTTATATATACAGTTAGGTCCATATATATTTGGACTCAGGCACATTTTTAGTTTTTTCAGATAT